AATCTCCCTCTGTCTGGACACTCCAGCAAAAAACACTATTTTCTCCGTGTCGCCAGACTTCAGCAGTGCTCTCATTGCCTGCAAACGGGAGAACAATCACTGCTGTTAGCAATGTAGAAACATGAGGAAGCAAGCAACCAGGCAGAGATGGGTAGAAACTCCTGGATACCCTTTCTACAAACTGAGGTACAATTCTTGGAACGTGAACAGGGAGATCTCATGCTGACAGAGGGGCCCTGCAGGGTTTGAGCTCTGAGAACAGGCAACTCCGGGTGGGCTGGCAAGTATTATTTAACATGAGTATTTTTGTCTTAAACCAACTCGTGGTAGCCCTGAGATTAGTCCCTCAAATCAATCATTTTACCTGCAGATTAGAAGTGTATTTTGGAGCTCCACACCTACAATGCCAAGGGGTTCAAACGTTAGTACTGTAGCTTCTCCTCACCTTCAGCTTGTTTCCTGCTTGAGTGTATTTCTTGGTTGCCATGTGGTAATTGCCTTGCTGCATGCAGCAATCGGCAACCTGTTCCAGCAGTTCTTTCCTAGACTCTTCAGAGAGCTCCTTTGAGTCCTTAGAGACAGTCATCTTCTCGGCCATCTCCTCTGTGATGGTCAGGTTCTGATTCAAGCAAAGCTGCAGGGCTTCATGGTACTGGTGAAGAGTGAGAGAGCAATGAACTGCTACTAACTAAATGTTCTGCACCAGAAGGACCTCAACCACATTTAGCCGGCTAGAATTCAAGTCTACAACTTTTTAGCCTTTTCCAACTGTGTGAATGGGTGCATCTGAACTCTGCAAAGGCCAGATGATTAGGACTCAGACAAGCTGTGCTGCAGAATCTTAACTTCAGAGATGGCCCTAAACCAAAACCCTGCAGCTGAAGACCCTGATCTTTGAGGCGACTCCGAATCTGAAAGACTAGGCTAGGCCGTAGCTATATCAGGGGCTGAGCCAAAACCCTGCATCAGGGAACTCTGACAATTCAAAATCCAGATAGAAATTCTGCAACTAGGGATTTGTTGCAGTGTGGGGAGGGCCCAGGATGCAACTCAGCTCACTCCTGAGCTCTGCTCTTCTACAGTCACATACTGTAGAGTTCACAGGAACACTGCAAAGGCTTTACCTTTTTGGCTGCTAGCAGCAACTCCACGGCCTTCTCGTGCTGGGCGTGTTCAATGAAGAAGTCAGAGCAGCGTGCCAGCAGGGCTGGGTCTGACTTCTCATCCAGGTCCTCAGCAATCAGCTGCAGGGCACCAAACTGCTGTGTGGCAAAAGCCAGCTCTAGTGCTTTGGAAAAGTGTCCTGCCTGCAAAACCAGAGACAGCCCTTTAGTTTTTCCCTCTCTTGTACTGATTGCATACAGGTTTCATGGCAACAAGCCATTAGGAAAGAGACACCAGATTTCTGCCGCAGAGCTCTGGCAAAATCAGCAGCTGCTGTGCCTCCAGTCCTTTCCTTCTTGATCAGCAGGCTCTGTATGAAGGTCTCCATTCGTTATTAAGGCCAATTAACCCAACATGAGGTGCAGAGAAACATACAGTAGCCCTTCCCAGCTGCCGTGACCTACATGCCTGCCATTCTGCTGCAGAGCTACCACACTATAAATTCAGAGAGTGGGGACCTACTGGCTGGCCAGAGACTCAGAGGATTCTCTGTATTCTGCCTCTAGTACAGCACTTGGTGCAGAACTTGTCTGCTCAACTTCAGCAGGCAGACAGAGGAAAGGAGGCTTGCACAGCTAAGTAGGAACCCCTATTAACTGATATATAAAAAGCACTGATTGCCTGTGCTGGGAGTCTTCTGCAGTGATGCAGCGCCTTCCCCACCAATATTGTCTTGTAGTGAATGCGGGCTGATTTATTGGCATTGGACAAATGCAGCTGGAGGCTACAAAGTACAAAGTGAGTTCATCTCCCAGATATCATCTGAAATGTGATGTATGTCACAAGTGAAGTGAAATAGGTGGACTCAATCAAGTCCCCTGGGACCACATATTGATATTACCAAAGCCATCACTCAGTTTGATACTGATTAAAGATTAGATATGATGAAATTTAATAAGGACAAATGCAAAGTACTCCACTTAGGAAGGAACAATCTGTTGCACAATACGAAATGGGAAATGACTGCCTAGGAAGGAGTACAGCAGAAATGGATCTGGGGGACATAGAGGATCACAAGCTAAATATGAGTCAACAATGTAACACTGTTGCCCCCTCATCTCTCCCCCCCCCCCCCAAAAAAAAGGAAACATAATTTTGGCATGTATTAGCGGGAGTGTTGTAAGCAAGACACTGGAAGTCATTCTTCCGCTCAACTCCACTCTGATAAGGCCTCAACTGGAGTATAGTGTCCAGTTCTGGGTGCCTCATTTCAGGAAAGGTGGACAAATTGGAAAAAGTCAACAGCATCAAAAATGATTAAAGGTCAAGAAAACAACCCATGAGGGAAGACTGAAAAAATTGGGTTAGTTTAGGATGGAGAAAAGAAGACTGAGGGGGGGACATGATAACAGCTTTCAAGTACGTAAAAGGTTGTTATAAGGATGAGGGTGAAAAATTGTTCTTGTTAACCTCTGACAATAGGACAAGAATTAATGGGCTTAAATTGCAACAAGGGAGGTTTAGGGTGGACATTAGGAAAAACTTCCTATGGGGTAGTTAAGCACTGGAATAAATTGGCTAGGGAGGTTGTGAATTTCCATCATTAGAGGTTTTTAAGAAGAGGTTAGACAAACACCTGTCAGGGATGGTCTAGTTATTAGGTAGTCCTGCCTTGATTGCAGGTGACTGGACTAAATGACCTCTTAAATCCCTTTCCATCCTACATTTTTATGATTCTATTATTAGAACAGCAAGTACTGCTGCAGGTCAGTTTGAGGGGCACTGGCAGAGCTGTAGAGGGGGCCCAGGAATGGATTAACAAGGGGTGCTGCACATCAGGAATGGATGCAGATAATCAGGTATTCAGCTGATTTGGTAGCTGACCACTGTAGTGTCTTGGTCTCAATTGAAAGCTTTATACTTCGCTGAGTCAGAGTTACCTTGTGGTACAACATGACTGCTCTGTCCATTTGTTCCCCCTTCTCTTCGTAATAGCAGGCTGCCTCTATCATGTCTTCTGGGGAACTCAGCAGAGCCAGATTCATCAGCTGGTCATCTAGATTGTTCTCCTACTCAAAAGTAAATAAATAAATAAAGATATCCTATCTCCTAGGAGTGGAAGGGACCTTGAAAGTCATCAAGTCCAGCTTCCTGCCTTCACTAGCAGGACCAAGTACTGATTTTGCCCCAGATCCCTAAGTGGCCCCCTCAAGGATTGAACTCACAACCCTGGGTTTAGCAGGCCAATGCTCAAACCACTGAGCTATCCCTCCCCCCATCTTCAAGCAAATACTCTATGATTACTTCCAGCACAGCAGACTTCATAGTGCCATTAATTACCTACCCTACAGTTTTATACTGCCACCCATCACCACTGTATCTGACCACCTTCCATATAAAATCAATAGCAACAGCAAAGTCCCTAGTGAACTTCATGGAGTTTCTGGTCTTCCCTTTTGTGGGGTCAAAACTCTGCTTGGGGCAGCATTTTTGGTTTGTTTGTTGTTGATTTGTTTATTTCAGGAGAGGGTTTTTTGTGGGGAGGGGTACTTGGGCTCTAAAGGGGTGTCAGTATTGTGAGTGTCGCATTACAGACCCCTTCTCTCCTAGAAGGTGTGGGTAGGAACCAATATAATCAACTACACAGTTATATAAGCAAGCAGTATGTCATACTTTACATAAGGAGAAGGCCCACGCTAATCTCACAGGTTGGCTACGTTTTCTGATGTACATGGCCTGAGAGATGCCATTGGGGGTGAGCTCTTTGCACTCAGGTGTACATGCTGTCATACCTTACACAAGCGGATGGCATTGTTAAATGCCTGGGCCCTAGTGTAGAAGTGCACAGCCTGCTTGATTTCATCCTGGCTCTCGTACTGGCGGGCCAGGTGATAGGATGCTGCCCAGTTTCCTGTTTCATTCGCTATTTCAGCAGCCTGAAAAGAGAGCCAGACCCTTCACATCATGCCCAGATTAAACACAAGAACGTGGACACTCCTGGGAGCAGTGGGAAGCAGGCTGCCTTACCTTCTGGATGTTGCCCTGAAAGCAGTAAACACGGACCAGGGAGAAATAATCCTGAGCTAACTCATAGTATCTTAGTGCGGATTCCATATCTGACTGGCTCTCCAGATACTGTGCCCACCATTTCCACAAGCTCCTAGAAAAGAAACAAAATAAGTGATGATGATGGTAATTAATCATTGGAACACACTACCAGGGGAAGTGGTGGATTTTCTCTCTCTTGAAGTCTTCAAATCAAGACTGGCTACCATTCAAGAAGATGTGCTTTAGTCAAACACAAGTCTTGGAGCTCAATACAGGGGAAACTGGATGAAAGTCTCTGGCCTGTGTTACTCAGCTCTCTCAGTCACAACTCTAGTAGCACTAGCTTGCCAACACAATACAGTGGGGTCCCTTCTAATGAACAAGATTCATGACCAAAGCAGACAAATGAACAAACTTCCAGCACTGCATGGTATAATGCATTAGCAAAAGTGTTCCCTACTAGCATGTTTCCTCTCTATTGAATTAACCTGGAAAATCTGAACACCTGGCAGCAAAGTGTTAAAACAAGTACTCTCAAACCTGAAACTCCCCCCTCAGGATACCACTCCTTCACACACTTCAGGTAAGGGAGGATGTAACATGGCACTAACTTATCTTTCATCTTGTTGACATAGATCTCCAAGGCTTGTAAATCTTCAGAGAGCATCCTGGGCACCTCAAACCTATGTGTGTCCGATTTCTCATAGCTGTGTAGAAAAAGGGCACATTAGATGGTGGATATCAGTGCTTTGTGGCAAACCGCTCAACTGCTATGTTAATCCATTTTATTTTAGTTCTTTAGTCTCTAGAATTAACAACAATACTAATAATACTCTGTCCTTATACAGTGCTTTTCATCAACTGCAGGAACAGTGCTGGCCGAGTGCCAATACGCCAAGGAAAAATAAAGGCCAAGGTGCTGCTGAGATAAGACCAAGGTGTGGCGATCACTGAGATAAAAATGGGTGCAGAAAAATCAAAAATCTTATTGGGGCCAAAGAGCCAACATGCACATCGAAGCCCCCACTATACCTAGCACAGCTTGTACCAGGAATGATTGGGAGGCTGGGTAAGAGATGGTAAAGGATATTCAATACAGATCTTGTCTCCTCACCTCATACACAAGTCTTCATATTGCCTGCTCATCTCCACTGCAATTTCACTCTCTAACCCACAGTTGGAAGGTTGCTCCTTTAACTGTACTAACCCATCTATCTGCAACTTTCTCCCCTCCTTCTTTCCCATTAATTGAATCACATCTTCTGCTCACATCGCCTCACACACAAAACCCTTCTTTACTCCTGAGCTAGAGCATGTTGTGACCTTACACAATAAGGGAACCATGCATAAAATAAAATTTAAACCAGTATGATGCATTCTAAAAACAACTTCCCCACCAACTTTCCCAGGATCTCAGCAGCCACTGAAAAGAATTCTGGGTGCCACATAAGCATCAGGTTCATAACACATGAGCCACAATGAATCCCTGGGGTGCCAGGTGGATCAATAACTCTCCAACACAAGGGCTTATGCATACAACAAGGCGCAAAAGGGAAGGTTGGTCTAGTGGTTAAAAGCATAGGCTTTGGAGACAGGAAAAGACGGTTACTCACCATTGTAACTGTTGTTCTTCGAGATGTGTTGCTCATATCCATTCCAATTAGGTGTGCGCGCGCTGCGTGCACGATTGTCGGAGAATTTTCTACCCTAGCAACACCCGGCGGGTCGGCTGTGGAGCCCCCTAGAGTGGCGCCTTCATGGCGCTGGATATATACCCCAGCTGACCCAGCGCCCCCTCAGTTCCTTCTTGCCGGCTACTCCGACAGTGGGGAAGGGGGGCGGGTTTGGAATGGATATGAGCAACACATCTCGAAGAACAACAGTTACAACGGTGAGTAACCGTCTTTTCTTCTTCGAGTGCTTGCTCATATCGATTCCAATTAGGTGACTCCCAAGCCTTACCTAGGTGGTGGGGTCGGAGTGAGACATTGCTGTGTGCAAAACCGCTGATCCGAATGCAGCATCGTCCCTGAAACGCCCACGATGATCCACAAGTGCCTGCAACATCATGGAGAAGTACCCCTCCCTATTGATGTGGTGGCGAAGGGGTCCGGTGCCGCGGAGGCTTGTCCGACTCCACCCGCGGTGCAGGGGCAGTCGGTGCCGCAGGGGCACTGTGCACCGAGGCGCTTGGCGCTGGGGCTTGACGCGCCGATGGAGTGTCCGGGCTAAGTGCCGCCTCCATGAGGAGTTGCCGAAGCCGAAAGTCCCGCTCCTTTTTGGTTCTCGGTCTGAAGGCCTTACAGATCTTACACTTATCTGTTTGATGGGACTCTCCCAGGCACTTCAGACACGAGTCGTGCGGGTCACTTGTGGGCATAGGCTTAGCGCAGGACGCGCACTGCTTAAAGCCAGGAGCCTTGGGCATGAGCCCGGCTATGCGCCAGGGGAAAAAGGGGGGAGAACAACCCCCTTAATCCCCTTTAACTATCTACAAGTATTAATAGAGTAAACTGAACACTATCTAAACTATATAACAACTACAACTACAACTACACTATCTACAAAACGGAATAAGCTAGGGAGAGTGGAGAACAGCTATGCCGCGCTCCACAGTTCCAACGACCGTCAGGGGTGGTAAGAAGGAACTGAGGGGGCGCCGGGTCGGCTGGGGTATATATCCAGCGCCATGAAGGCGCCACTCTAGGGGGCTCCACAGCCGACCCGCCGGGTGTTGCTAGGGTAGAAAATTCTCCGACGATCGTGCACGCGGCGCGCGCACACCTAATTGGAATCGATATGAGCAAGCACTCGAAGAAGAATCCAAGTTCTAGTCTTGACTCCACTGCAGACTTTCCATGTGAACTTGGGCAAGTCAGTTAACCTCTCTGTGTCTCAGTTTCCCCCATTGCCAGGTTTATTTTAATAATAGTTTGAGATCCTCAGATGAAAGGTGGCAGAAAAGGGGAAAAACTGGTTATCTGCCAGTAGCAGACAGCCCTACCAATTTTGCCTCTGCTGTCCACAGCAGTGTGCTAAAACTCAGAACACACTTTCTTGTGTTCAGAACTAAGTTCTAGGTGCTCGGCCTTTTCTACAGGAAGCTGCTTACTAGTTGAGTGCAAGATTGCACTCTGCAGTGGCCTCCAGGTGTTTGGCATAGTGTAGTATGTGGTGCGCAGGTGAACCCGATCATGAGTCTCAGCTATTTCCATAGCTTTCTGCCACTGGTCAGAAGCCTGATAGAACATGTTCAGGAGGTCGTAGCGCTTGCAATTCTTGTACAGCCGCTCTGCATCTTCCTGAAAGAAGAGCGAACAAACAGTGAAAAGTTATCTGGATTTTCTGAGTACTTTACAGGGATTACATCTAAGCAGTAATGAGTGATAGCTTTCTGATTGCCTTCTATGATGAGATAACTGGCTCTGTGGATATGGGGAAAGCAGGGGATGTGATATATCTTGACTTTAGCAAAGCTTTTGATACGGTCTCCCACAGTATTCTTGCCAGCAAGTTTAAAAAGTATGGATTGGAAGAATCATAGAATATCAGAGTTGGAAGTCCAACCCCCTGATCAGAACAGGACTAATCCCCAACTAAATGGACTATAAGGTGGATAGAAAGCTGGCTAGATCGTCAGGCTCAACGGATAGTGATCAACGGCTCGATGTCAAGTTGGCAGCCCCAGGAGTTGGTCCTGGGACCGGTTTTGTTCAACATCTTCGTTAATGATCTGAATGATGGGATGGATTTCACCCTTAGCAAGTTCGCGGATGACACTACCCTGGGGGGAGAGGTGGATAGGGTCCAGAGTGACCTAGACAAATTGGAGGATTGGGCCAAAAGAAATCTGATGAGGTTCAACGAGGACAAGTGCAGAGTCCTGCACTTAAGATGGAAGAATCCCATGCACTGCTACAGGCTGGGGACCGATTGGCTAAGCAGCAGTTCCGCAGAAAAGGACCTGGGGATTACAGTGGACGAGAAGCTGGATATGAGTCAACAGTGAGCTCTTGTTGACAAGAAGGCTAACGGCATATTGGGCTGCATTAGTAGGAACACTGTCAGCAGATCAAGGGAAGTGATTATTCCCCTCTATTCGGCACTGGTGAGGCCACATCTGGAGTATTTTGTCCAGTTTTGGGGCCCCCGTTACAAAAAGGATGTGAACAAATTGGAGAGAGTCCAGCAGAGGACAACAAAATGATTAGGGGTCTGGGGCACATGAATTACAAGGAGAGGCTGAGGCAACTGGGCTTATTTAGTCTGCAGAAGAGAAAAGTGAGGGGGGATTTGATAGCAGCCTTCAACAAACTGAAGGGGGGTTCCAAAGGGGATGGAGTAGGCTGTACTCAGTGCTGGCAGATGACAGAACAAGAAGCAATAGTCTCAAGTTGCAGTGGGGGAGGTCTAGGTTAAATATTAGGAAAAAACTATTTCACTAGGAGAGTGGTGAAGCACTGGAATGGGTTACCTAGGGAGGTGGTGGAATCTCCATCCTTAGATGTTTTGAAGGCCCAGCTTGACAAAGCCCTGGCTGGGATGATTTAGTTGGTGTTGGTCCTGCTTTGAGCAGGGGGTTGGCCTAGGTGACCTCCTGAGGTCTCTTCCAACCCTAATATTCTATGATAGGTAGTGCACTTCTGAGCAGTTAATTACTCCAGACCGCGGATTGCACTGCATAGTAAAAAGGATTAAGACAGAGGGATTTGAACCTACTAAATATACGTAGCCTGGAATATCAGCATTGTGACTGAGAAACTGGATGTTTATGTGAAAATAAAGAAAGCACTCATATCACAGCATTTACTGGGTGATATTAACCAGGGGTGGGAGTGACATGAGCAGCCACCAGTCATAAAACTCTGATTGTGACACAACACTAAGCCATTTGATAATGGAGGTTATCAAATGGCTCATATTAGAGTTACTCGCTGGCATAACCATTCTGGGCTGCGGTAGGAGAGACCCATTACCCCAGTTAAGGAGTTTGAGAGAGCTTTGCTAACTTTGTAGCTGTTTTCTCACCAACAAGGATTCAGCACTTAGAGAACCCTCTCACTCCACATTAGGTCCCTGAGACACGGATTATGTTCTTAGATTATTAATGCAGACCAAAACCTGATGCCTTTACTTATGTCAAACTTCCACTGACTTCATTTAGAGTTAGAGCCTTAGGATTTGGCCCATGGTGACACAAGCAATAAACAAATTTAAAACTGCTATTTTTAATCTTTGAGATGGACTCCTGTGTCAAGGACTTTTCCTGCCCCACCCAACTGCTTTCCAGCTGAGCTCTGTGTACAGTAATGGAGATACACTGTGGCAGGACAGAAGGAGCAAATTCTGTTTCCTCCTGATTCCCATTTATTTTCAGAGAAAAATAAACCCTAGATATGGAAGAGTCCTGTTAGTTCCTATTCTAGACCCTCTCCTTACTAATGTAGGATTGTTTTCTACAGAACATTTGATAGTGTTTTTCCCCAAAACTAGTTTTAAATGTCCGAGCAGAGGGGCTTTCCCCACTTCCATTGAGCCTAATAAATCTCACTGTCATGAAGCTTTTTACAAATATCCAGCCTGAATTTTCCTAGTTACGCCTTTATACCACCCAGAACAATTCCTCCACCATTCATACCCTTCAAATATTTGTAGGTTGTTAGCACATTCTGATCTTAGCCGAATTCTACATATTCAACTCTTTCAAATCTTTCCTCTTGTATATGAATCCATTTCAGGATCCTAACAATTTGAGTTGCTTTTCTCTGAACTTCCTCCTATTCATTAATATTTTTCTGGCAATGAGATGCTTAAATTTGAAAGCAATACTCCAGCTGCAGTTGCACCATGATGTGTAAACAGACCATGAAATCAAAGCTCCAAGATGTGGTGCCTCTGAAAACAGCGCCCAAAATTGCAATTTCTTATCTAATTCGTGGTCTCCTATGAACCTTGGATTCTGTCAGCTGTGCTGCTTTCCAGCTTTCTACTCCCCACTCAGTATGATTTTTCTAGATGTATTAACTTGTATTTTTCCAAGATATATCTTCTTTTCATTTTCTACCCATGTTTTTAACCTCTTGGACCCTTTATTATTTCTGCCCTCCCTGGTATTTGCAATGCTTCTCAATTTAGTATCATCTGTGAATTTTGTTAAAACGCTGTTTAGTCCTTCTTATACAGATCATTAATGGAGACATTAAATAAGAGCTAACCTGGTACCAGTACATGGCTGCTTATCATTACCCTTACTTTATAGTTCTCCAGCTAGTTTTCAGTCCACATGACAACGTGATTCTCAAAGCCAGTTTAGGTCCCAATTTTATTGGTGGAGTAAAGATACTATTCAAAGGGCTTGTCTAGACTCTCATAAAAGGTGTCCAAAGGGCAAGTTGTATTTTAACATGCCTTAGCGGGTGGAGGGTGAACTATTGGCTAGTCACTAGGTTTCTCCTCTACCACCTAACACATGTTAAAATACAACTTGCCTTTTCTACACTCCAGTTTGAAAACGTGAGTTAAAATGTTTTAGCTAACCCATTTTAAGAAGACACCATTTATTTTAGCCTAGACAAGTTCAGAGTGATTAAGGATAGCAGAATCAAGCCCTAAGGTTTGTGAGACAGCATAT